CTCTTAAGTGGGGCCGGGTCCCTTGTTTTAGGGTAGTCCTCTTAAGTGGGGCCGGGTCCCTTGTTTTAGGGTCCTTTTTGTAAGGATTCCGTACAAGTACTTAGGTTTTGGACCGAAAAGGGGCCCTACAGTACCTTTGAGAAGTAGCCATATAGGTGCCTTAATGACTGGAATTGGGTTTTGGATGTTATACTAACCTTTCAAGCGGACCTTTTCTAGTAACACTTATAGCAACCAAAACCCTAGCCTGGCGAAGATGCCATTCTCTGCCAAGGCCCTGTTTCAGAAGCTGATAGCTGCGGCCCAGTGGTAATTTGGAGCGGACTATGGATACTGGATAGGCGACGATGATGATGATGATGATGATGATGACGACGGTGATGGCGACTACGATGACGACGACGATGACGACGACTACGGTGATACTGGTACTGTAAATGCAGCTGGTGATGATGGTGGTGGTGCTGACGGAGATGGTGAGGAGCTGCTGGCGATGGTGATGATGATGATGATGATGATGATGATGATGGCGATGATGATGATGATGATGATGATGGTGACTATGCTGAGGAAGAAGATGGTGATTACGGCGCGGGTGCTGATGATGATGATGATGGTGATGATGATGATGATGATGATGGTGATGGAGATGATGATGATGATGATGATGGTGCTGACACTGGCGATTGTAATGATGCGAACCATACTCCGAACGAGTATAGTACAATACAGAGAATTATTCTGCCGTTATAACTGTTATTGGTGCTGTCCTTCTCTTCTCTGTTGTGTCGACATTCGGGCTTCCTTCAGTCTTCAGAAGCTACCAAGTTACTACGTATACCTTGGAAAGAAACCTTCGAGGGAATCCTTCTTTCGAACCGCCCCAAGTCCTGAAAACGAGGGTGTCATCAGCTCGGAGGGTATCTGTGCCTAGACCGCACGTCGACGATGGAGGGCAGTAAGCTTGAGGGCTTGAGAGGGGGCTTCTTGGGCTTAGAACTGTCGAGTTTCCCCGGTGCAGGCTGAGCTGCTCACCCGGACACTTTTGTTCTGAAGTCTGAGTGTCACGACTGCAGATCATTCCGCCTACAATTTCTACTCTCCTGCTTACCTTACTCGAGTTGTCCCAAGCATGCCTGCTTGCAATTATGGCTGATTGTAATCTAACAGTGCTTGGTTGACCGCACTGCTTGCCTGTTTTTAAGAACACTGTCAGTCGCATTGGAGGAGCTCCTTCCTCGGTGGATATTGCCATTTTCCAAGAGGAGCTAAAAGAAGGCTTCCAAGATTTCTCCAGGAGTGGAGCCAACATGTGGATGTAAGACGTTCTTGAAGACAAGCAAGCGAGTTAAAGACGAGGTGTTTGAATGGCTTCAATACGATTCTTGCTTTGCGGGTTGTTTGCAGCAGGATATGTATGGTTTGGAAGGCTTTGGGCCTTCGAGTGCTGCTGTCACCTGCAACAGTGCAAATGCTGAAGCACATCTGAAGTAGTTTAATGTCTCGGGATTTCTGTCAGACTGTAGAGTGCAGGCTGGAGGAAAGGTATTCCAGCAGCAGGAAAGTGTACAAAGCCCAGTCATAGAACAGGAGACCGTTCGCTACGTTTGGACTTCCGTGCCCAGCGGAATCCATACAGCATCCAAACAATCACGCGCAACTGGCAGGCAAAGAAAGAGAACAACCACTATACTACAGTAGACTATACTATACTATACCTTATATTCTACTATACCATATGCACTATTATACCATGTCATACTATGCTGTACACTACATTATACTAACCATGGTCCAAGGAAGAACATGAAAAGTCCTCGGTCGCTGGCTGAGAACTGATGTTGAGGACCTCTGTCAACAAGGCTCCGTGGCTCTGCTTTCAGACTCAGGCTTCAGGGTTTGGGGTTCAGGG